ATTTTTTGTTAGTGCTATCAGAATATGGAATTCACTACCAAATTCAATAAAATGCGTAAGTTCGATTCAATGCTTCAAAACAGCAGTTGCAAATCTACTCAAAAATCCTCTGTCTTTTCAAGTTTTCTGTCTGTCTTTTATCCCTTAGTGTTAGTTATAATATAGCAAAAATGATATGTAGTTCATATACTTATATTATTGTCTTAGCTTAAGTTTAATCTTGTAATTGAAATTTTTGTTATTAGTACGCTTAAAGACTTCGAGTTTTACTGTACTTACAAAGTAAATAAATGATTGATTTATTGATTGATATCATTAGCGCACACAAGGGGTGGGTTTTGGGGTTCAAACCTTCCCCCCCCCCTAAAGCTAATAACGTCAAATACAAACTGTATCTTAAAGCTAAGAATGCAGCTCTCAAGGAAATTATAAGAAATATTTATTATAATTTCTGTTGCCTGAAAAAGCGCTTTGCTTTTGCTGTAAATTTCTATGAGGAAATAAATATACGAGCATTTTTTTCTTGAGAGCTGCAAACTGATTTAAGAAATTTTGGTAGAATAAAATTTCTTTTCCATTTCACGTCCGTCGTTTTATATGAATTTTTCGTTTTTCTTGAGAGTTCAGTTAATTTTTTCGGTATTCGAAATATTAAAAAAATTTAGCAATCGTGAAAACTCACCTTCTCTATCGAAAACCAGAAACCAGAAATCGAAAAAATGAACATAAAAGTGCAAAAATTTATGGAATCAATAAATTTATTTTTTCTGACTCTTTTAAAATTTTTTATTAGGTACTTTTAAAAGTTGAGCGCATCTTGAGTTTATAGAACTTTTTATTAAACAAGTAGTTTTTAAGGAAAGAACACAACCGACTTCAAATTTAGGGGTACCGTTAATTTCTTCATGATCCAATCATCGGATCTCTAAACCAAATTACGGGACGACCCTTGAGGTACCATCTTTCCAATAAAAAAAGGATTATTGAAATCGGTTCACGTGGTCAAAAGTTATGTATTCCGGCGTATTGATAACCTCCTCTTTTTTTTGAAGTCGGTTAAAAGTGTTTGAGTTCTGTTAATCTTATGTAAATAAAGTGCAGTTTATGGATTTTAAAACGTTTATTTATTTATTACATACTGTACATAAAACTTGCATGAATGTATTTTAAAGAGCGCATTATCTGAAGCAAATTTTCAGTATTTTCCGGTGATATATATTCAGAAATATAAAACCCCCCCTAAAATATATTCCTGGGTGCGCCCCTGATTGATATATTACCAATCGCTAAAATTATCAAAGGTGTCATCCTTGTCTAAAATAAAAGCGCGAAAATGTGGCATAAGGAAAAAATAATTTTAATTTCAATATAAAAGAAAAATGCAAAGTTTTTAATAACACACATACATATGAATTTTTATTTAGGTTGGTGATGTAGACGGGTTTTAATTGACGGAATGGATAAATTCGTGCAATCTGCTAAAAGTAAGAGTACATTAATTGTGTAGTACGTAGCGTAATTCTTTTATTAAATATTTGTATTTTTGTACAGCATCCCGTGAAGATACCTCGATAAATATTGATTCTTGTAGCGAATCCGATTCTGAAAGAAAACGTTTTAAAAGAAAGAGAGTGGGCTCATCCAACGTGTGGAAATTTTTTTGAGCCATCAAAAGACAAGAAACTGGCGAAATGTCTCCACTGTGGCCGAGAGTACAAAACTAGTGGTAATACTACCAACCTGTCGGATCATTTGAATCGCGCTCATCCTACCCTCAATAATTGTGTAAAGCCGATTAATACCATATGAGCACATTTTAGTAAGTCTGAAAATTACGACCAAATTTCGACGCGTAAAAAAGAACTTGATGTATCATTAATGAAAATGGTCACATTAGATGTGCAGCCCTTTCGAATTGTCGAAGATGTAGGTTTCCGAAATTTTGTTAAATGTTTAGATCCCCGATACGTGTTGCCTAGTTGAACAACTCTACAAAATGTGTTGTTAAAGAACATGTACAGTGATGCTAAAATCAAATTATAAGAAATTTTAAATACGGTGGAACATTGCGCAATAACGACCGATTGTTGGACGTCGCGGGCAAATGTTGGTTACTTAACCGTCACATGCCACTTTGTTACGGAAAAAATGATATTACAGACAGCAGTATTATCGACCACAACTTTATTAACAACCACAAATCATTCCGCTGACAATATCGCGAATTCGTTACGCAATGTTTTATCGGAGTGGGGCGTTCTGGAAAAAGTAACTTCAATTGTGACGGATAATGCGGCAAGCATGATTAAAGCTTGCGAGCTACTTCAAAAACGAAACCTACCGTGTTTTGCGCATTCTTTAACCTTAATTATTCAAGATGCTTTATCACAAGAAAACACAAAACCCGTGATAATGAAGTGTAAGCGTATCGTTGGTTATTTTAAAAGCAGCACAATTGCTTATGAAAAGTTTAAAGAGGCGCAGAATGATAAACAATACAGTTTGCTCCAAGAAACTCCTACGCGATGGAATAGTGCGTACCTAATGATTAAAAGAATAATAGAGACAAAAGGTTCTATTTCTAATGTTCTACTTGCAACTCCAAAAGCTCCACAGACTCTTACTGCAGACGAAATAGAAACTTTGAAAGATTTGGTGGAATTATTTGGTCCATTTCATGAAGCTACTGTACAAGCATCAGCGAGTGATTCTGTTACAATATCATTAATAATACCGCTTACGTGTGACCTTTACCATAAATTAAATGATTTGCAAACTAATATGAAAACGACAGAAGGTTACAATACATGCACTTATGTAATTCGACGACTGAGAGTTAGATTACTTCACTACGAAAACCGAACAGTTACAAAAATTGGCACCATTTTAGATGCAAGTTTCAAGAAAGAAGGCTTCTTATCAAGTAACAT